TGTACAATAGAGTCGGCACCTTCCCAATATCCTGAAAAGTGCCTGAAACACATACCATATAACACGGTAAGCACGAAGCTTAGTGAGTTCCCCAAAATACCGCATACACAAATAATAAGCCTCTTATGGCTATAACTTGTCATGGACCCTCTGGTCTCATGCGTCTCAGTGTGGACCCTCCAGTTGTATGTCTCAGTGAGGACCCTCCGGTCTCACAACTCAGTTTGGACCCTCCGGTCCTATCTCAGTGGAAACCCTCCGATCCCACAACTCGATTTGGACCCTCCGGTCTAATCTTAGTAAGCACATAATATAACATATATATCACACAAACAAAATGCGTAATATCACATAACTCAAATAAGCACATAAGATCCTCCGGTCACACGTAGATACCACTCATGGTAAGTATAGTGAGAAGACTCGCCTTGGATGATGAACAACTCCTATAAACGTTGTTGTTGCACACCAGCCTCTATCTCTGAGCCAAAACCCACAATTAACCCAATTAGGAACTAAGTTCAAACTCTCACTCAAGGTCTAAAGGTAGTCCACTAACCAGCCCATCCATAACCCAAAACCCATTGGGCTTACCAAGGCCCAAATAATAAATGGGATCTCCCGAGGCCCAACTCTCAAGTCTAAATGGCAAGCCCAACACAAGGGTCCAAGGCACATATATATGATATTCCTTTTTATCAAAATCTCTAGTGCAACAAGCCCAAACTCCAGGCCCAACACTTAAGGACCAAAATGAGACTTAGCCCAAAAGCCCACAGTGAGGTTACGCGGGGCGTACCTCCCTTGGTACGCTCAGCATACACACGAATCCAAATTGGCCATCGGGGGACACTTGGTCAGTATGCGGGGCGTACTGGAATTACGCTCAGCGTACGTCTAGGTTTGCTTTTTCCTACTCCTTTGGTCTTAACCCGTTAAGACCTTAACTCAAATCCCAGATCTAGACTCCCTAATGGCTCTTACTCCATAAAGCTTGTGACTTTAAGCCTTTGCATGGCTGATAAGGTCACAAACACATAGAACTCTTACTCTCTTAACTCAAAATGCTCATATCTCATGCTTGGTTTGATTCTAACGTCCAAGTCTTGATGTTTATGACACTATACCACTGAATACACTCAAAGGGGGTTGATCATAGTCTTTGGAGCTCAATATCTCATAAAGTCTCCAACTTTTGGGTCAAAAACCCTAAAATACTCTACTATGATGCACAAATTAAAAGAGTGAGAAAGCTTGAAGCTTTATACCTCTATATGAAGCTCCAAACATAGATATGCTCAGATCCAAAGGTTTGGACTCTCACTCCTTCTTCTCCAAAGCTTCTTCTTCACTCCAAGAACACACAAAATCACTCAAAGGCCTCACAAGCTCTATGAACGAAGGTTTAGGGTTTAAGGGGGTTTATTGTCTAAGGATGGTGGCCAATAATGAGGCCATCTTATTCTTTATATAGGGACACCCCCTCATTTAGGGTTTTCACTCTAAGCCTAGTACGCCCAGCGTACAAGGTGGCTCCGCTTAAAAGTCACGCACATGAGTACGCTAAGCGTACACACACGTACGCCCAACGTACTCAGCTGCCACCTTTTTCAAATAAGGGACCTATCTTGTCAAAACTTCAAACTTCCATAGCTTCCTCGATCTAAATTCGTTTCCAATGGATCTCATATCCACGAAAAAGTGACGAGAAGCCCTACACTTCTAGCAACTTGTCGCAGCCCCGAGGCTTCCTCATGTCCGGGTTGCAACCCTCAAACCCTAATCACGAACGCTCCGAAACAGGATGTTACCGTGGTTTTGTAAAAACTATAGATAGAATCCAAAAAAATTTCAATTTGCATGAAAGGTTCAAAATCAATAATTTTATCTGGATTTGGTCTCTGGATTATTTGAAGTGACTATTTTGCCATTTTAATTTATTTTTTTTATTTTTCTTATATTTCTTTTAAGACTTTATTAATTAAAAATAAAAATAAAAATATTGTGCCCACCCGTACCCCCACCCTTTATTCTCTCTCTCTCTCTCTCTCTCTCTATATATATATATATATATATATATATATATATATATATATATATATATATATATATATATATATACACACACTATGTCCTTCCTTCAATCTCAAACCACCATTGTAAATCCTCCACCACTAACACCGATCCACACCCTCCACCATCGATGAACAAAAAAAAATCAAGAATCTACAACGTCTATTTGATCCATTATTCTCTCAATGTCAAGACATACCCACACCCAAGCTCTAACACACACATACACACTATCTCTCTATAAAAACCTCTTTTTTCTTCTCACCTAAAGCCACTCATGAATACTTTCAACCAGATGTAATCACCCTTTTCACATACAACATATCAATCAAACACACACATAAATGGGTTTGATTTTCTTACTTCTTACAAATTTAATATTGATTTCACAACTGGGTCTTGTTTTAAAGCTTAGGTTCATGAGAATCAGAAAAAATCGAGAGTCATAATGACCCTATAAGAGATATATAGAATGAGGTTGAGAGGAATGATAATTAGATGCATGCTAGTAGACCAGAGACACCTCCTTCTTTCTCTTTGACTTTCTTTCTCTCCCTTCTCCTTCATGTCGAGCAATACCCTTCTTTCTCACCCTTCTCATTCCTATCAAGCAACACCAAATGACTGCTCTCATTTTCTTTTTGAACCGGGTTTGTGTTAATCGAAGGAATAAAACTTATCAGAAGGAAAAAAGGAAGGGCATCATGTATGTATTTGTGTATGTGTTTTAATCTACTATGTATACGTATTAAATCCAATCGATTGATCTGACATAATAATCGCAAGCACTCCAGAGGTTGTACTAGGGCAGTGGATTTCGTAGTGGTTAAAGTATCGAAATCATCTTTGAGCTTCTGTTGTAATTCCTCACAATTCCTGCTAATCAAAATAAGATTATAAATGATGATATGTTGGTGGTTTGGCAATCAAGTAGTGGTGCAATGGTGTTGGTTGTCATAAGCGATAGTAGGGAGGAGGTTTCATCATGTTTATGAGATCGACAATGTGGTTCCATCGCTGAGAAGAATAGTGGATGTCGATGATGGATTTTTTTGGTAGGGGGGATCTTGAAGATGAAGAGGTGTGGGTTAGGTCAGAGAGAGAGAGAGAGAGAGAGAGAGAGAGAGAGAGAAAGAGGTACGATGGATGGAAAGTGGGCCCAATGTTTTTCTTTTTAATTTTTAATTAATAAAATATGAAAATAAATTTAAAATAATATAAAAAATAAAGGAAAAGGGCAAAACGGTTATTTCAAGTCTTTTAAGGACTAAAACCATGAGAGTTTTTTAAATTTGGGACTAAACCAACATAAAATACTTGATTTTGGACCTTTCATGCAAGTTGAAAACTTTTTGAATTTTATCCACAATTTTTGCATACTTCAGATACCAATTTTGTAGTTTTGTCTAATCTGTTTTTCTCATCCCATACAATTTTCTTTTAAAAAAATATTAAAACATTTAACACCTTCAAATTAAATAAATAAAACTAAAAATGCAAATAAATTTTCATTAAAAAATGAATACTACTAAAACCTAAAAATGATATCGAAATCAAATACATTAATTAAAATTTAAATTTTTTTTTTTTTTCGTTGTCCTATAGTAGAATGTCTGTAGGGACGCTCAATGTGATCAATAAACGCTCAATGTGATCAATAAGATGTTATCAAAGTTGGTAATGAGTTTATGAGTTTCACAATTCCAATAATCATATATGCATTACTTTTTCCTCGGTGGGGAAATTGCTAACATATACCGAACATATAGCATAATTTTCATCTTTCAATATCATATCCTTTGTTATTAGACACATGCATTTTATATTTTCACGTCTTGATCCGGTAAACGTGTAATGTACCTTTTTATTCCCCAACGACTTTTTAGTATATCAAAATCCAGCTCCACGTCATTTCTTGTTGCGCTTTGAGCCACCTTTAACCGTTTCTTTTTTGTGTGAAGCTGGATGTGCAAATGGTTTCACAAAAGTTGCTCAATTTGGTATATCTCATCTATAAGATAGTACTCATGCGTTTATTCTTCTCCGTTTAAATTAAATGAACATTTTGGTATTTCCAAAGCAGTTTCTCGTTGCATAGTGGAGATTGGTAGTTGAAGATTAGATCGACACCAAAATATGCATGACATATAAATAGATATTACAATGCTACAACTTCAGGTATCATCGTTGGGTTGTGGGTATTGTGATCACCTCTCGTGAACAACTGATTAGACTATTTATTACTTTGTTGATGAATTTCAACCCTTTATAAAATATTATTGATTATTGATTACAACTACTGAACTTTCAATTAAGCACCATGAATGTATCTTGAATTACATTCAGCATTTCTATTTGTTAGTAGTTACAAACTTACCATCATTCTTGCAAAATTACTAAAAAAAAAAAACATGCATATTGCAGAATCTATGATTTTTAATTGTTATTCTCTAAATGGGTAACCAAGTTTTCCCTCAGTTTTCTCCCAAGAGGATCAACCTGCTTACACCACTGTTCAACATACCCTGAATCATGATGACATGACAAAGAAACATCTGGTTCTATAAAATCTCCACAATCGATAATTATATTATGAAGCAAACAACATACCACAATGATGCTTGGAAGCTTCTTCTTATCAGGTCTCCACATGACCTTATTAAGTATCCTCCAACTTCCCTTTAATTGCGAAAACGCCCTCACAGCAACCGATCTTGCACCTTCATGCACAGTATTAAAACCAGACATCTCATCACTTTCACTTTCACTTTCATTTTCATTATAAGGTGTTATCAGCCACGGAAGAAGAGGATAATTAGCTCCACCCACTATGAATTCTCTAAACTCTGATTTTAAATTCCCATTTAAACGCTCACCCGCTTCACAAAGTTTATAAAATCCAGAAAATTTTAACAGTTTTGGGATTGTCATGCCACCTGGCCAACCTGTAACAATATCAAGAAATCTTGATTTGTCATCAACGATACCTTGGACTAACATACTGTAGTTTTTAACCTGATCACACCAATCATCTGAAGTTTGAACAGCTGGAAGGGTCATAACTATGTGAGTTGCATCAATGGCTCCACAACAATTGGGTAATTTGAAAGATCTCTCGAATTCTGATTTGATTTTCTGTAATTTTTCATTGTCTGGCCATTTGAGATGGTGTCTGGCGCGTTCTTCCATGGCTTCTATGAATCTCCATGTGACTTGAGAAACTGTTGATTGTCCAACATTGAACGATGCTCCTACTGAAACTTGAGATTCACCAGATGCTAATCTTCTTAAAGCGATTGCAACTTGTTTTTCGACACTGAGAAGTCTTCCTTCGATGTTGATGAGCCCTGAAGGAGGTCGTGATATGAGATCTTCTCGTACAAGAGAACATATGTACTCGAATGTCTTTTTTGAGAGTCGGAAAAAGTACTTGAATCCTTCTTCTTCATCTTGGGGAACCATTGAACCTGCAAGTATCAGTTGGAAATAAATTTTGATATTCGATTTTCCAATTGCATAAACCGATTAGAAGCTAAAAGAGGAAATTATTGGAAGAATAAGCTCATTCTTATTGTACATAGAGAGATAATACAGTCCAACTTCGGAACTGGAGCAAGACGAACCCTAATTTTGAAAGCGAGAACTAATTGAGGAATTACAAAGCTCAATTGGCATGCCGATACACTTTTAGAACTGTTAAAAACTGATTTCACAGTTGCAAATACAAATCATGAGTTAATCCTTAAAATGCCATGTAAACGAAGCGAAGAAATACCCGAAATGGGGGAATTCTTTTCCCAAAAACAATTCCACCAATCTGAATCGACGCCTCTGTTCTCGCTACCACCAACTGCCGCAACTGTGCTTGAACTGGAAGGTACTTTTTTCTTCTTCAGCTTCATCTTCGAATCCTTTTTCATTTTGATCTTCTTCGCAGCAAATTCATGCTTCTCCTTCTTTGGGGCCATTTTAGGGCTCGGTCTCCTGTTATCCGGTTTAAATATGATATCTTACAGGCTGATACCATACAAACCCTCAAATTTCAAGAAATGTTCAGTTATATCCTAAGTCCATTTTTATGTCCATAAAAACCACATATTTAAGCAAAAATTGTTATAATTGTCCTCTTTTCCGATTTTACATTTTTATGGCATAAGGTGGTGTTTGGATACATATCGACACATGTTAAGGGATGTTTGGCATTAGGGGATGTTTGGGAAAGCACCTCCAGTTCTCGTCGGCTTCGAAGAAATCATGGGAGAACAATCAAGTTTGCTACCATTGGCCAATTTTATAGCTCTTATTCTCTGTACTCCATCCTTATATCTATTGGTGGGCTTGATTAGGTTTTGATGGCCATATGCAAATCTGATTTCATTTTATTATTAAAGTTCTAGATGTGAGTTTTTTTCCTGGGTTTGTGTTGAAGTTGTATTTGGTTTCAGATATGAAGAAATCCAAAATCAAAATTAAACAAAGGGCATGAGGAATCCTCTTTTCTTTGGTAAAGATGATGATTTCAAATGGTGACCAGATTGATGAGAAGATTTGATGAACTTTAAAACATCATGGTTGTTCTTGCGCATATGTTGACAGAGAAATTGATGGGTTTTAGGTAAAACAAATAAACTAGAAAACAATTCCTAAGTTCACATGCAACCTACTTTGGATCTATGTTTTATCTATTGAACATACAACTTTGAATTGCAAAACAAGAACCCTAGAGGAGAGAGGCTATAATCGAAATCTACAAACTAGGGTTTAGTAATTACATACCTTTCAATTGTTATAGTAAACAATTGATGATTCCCTTGATCTTGATCTTGATCTTCTTGGAAGCTTAGCACCACAAGTGTAATGCCTTTAATGGAATCACACCCAAACTAGCAAGAAGGAAATTAGAGGAGAGAGGGAAGAGGGAGTATGCAAAATTTCGGCCCTTAGGGTTTCTTCCAAAGAAAAGAGTGACCAAAACATGAACCAGGAGGCTCCTTATATAGCTGAGGGATCTAGGGTTTAGGAAAACCCTAGTTATTCTTTGCTTAGGGCCTAAGCAAACCCAAGGGCCTTATCCAAGCCCCTATGGACGAAATTATTAGGGTTTCCCCTAAAGATTTCGTCCACCCTTATCCAAGGGGGTTCTAGAGCCTTCCACTCAACTATTAGATAATTGCAAACTAGTCCCTGCACCTTATAATTAATTCTTTTAACCCCAAAATTAATTCTAATTAATTTATGGCTAACAACTAATTAAACCAAATGATTTCTTATTAATATATTAATCTTTTAACATATTAATTCATTTATATTAATTTATTAATCTTATAATAAATTAATATCTCTCCTTTCATAATTTCCTTGTCCGGTTGCTAGGTTTGAGGGCAACCCAAAAGGACTGTGCTGCTATCAATTCAAGTACATACCAATTATAGTTATGGGCTTAGACACCTAATCCAACAGAAACCTAACAGAGGAGATGATGGTGGTGTGATAACTAACGACGAAGATACCCTATTTTCGTCGCCCCTGTTCCATTTCCTTGTATCCACGACTTGTTTGTGATTTCCTTGGCCTAACCGGAATGCACACAATCATTGGATTTTAGTGTATTTTTTACTTTTATGTTTTGGTTTTGAGAATTGATTTCAGATGAGCTTTTGATGTTTGATTTCAGGTTTGAATATAATTTTAAGGTTAGATTTCAGATTTGAATATGAGTTTGAGGTGTGGTGGTTGACGATGGTTCTTCTAGCAGAAAGGAGGAGGAGGTGATCGTTAGGAGCACGGTTCTTCTGCTTCTTCTTCTTCTTCGAAGCAGGCGAGCACCGGAGGTGCTTTCCCGATCCACCCCGTCGCTGCTTCTTTTTCCCCTTGATTGGTGGTTGTCGACGACGAGAGAAGGACCACGAAGGGTGGCCGGGACATCCCCTACTGCCAAACATCCCCTAATATGTGTCGATCTGTAACTAAACACGCCCTAATGTCAAAGAAGGGTAAAATCGAAAAATATGGCAATTATGACAATTTTTGCCTAAATGTGCGGTTTTTGTGGACATAGAAATTGAATTAGGAAGTAACTGAAATTTTTTGAAAATTTAAGGGTTTTAATGGCATCTAATATGCCATATTTACTCAACTGGACCAATATGATAAATATAAAAGAAATTAAATATTCTCTTCCTAACAATCACCTATCTGTTTAAGTGATGACATATGTCGCATTAATATATTAAAATATCATTAAATTTCATTAAATGACCATTAAATGTTACACATGTTACCATTTAATTACGTAGGAGGATTTTTAGGAACAAAAAGTAGAAATATATTTAATATAAATAAATAATAATAATAATATCAATATAAATCAAGGTTGTCAAGATCGGAATCTTATGATTGTTTTTAGCTTTGCAAGATCGTGATCGTAAGATCATACCGAAAACATTTTAATACATAATAAATACATTTTCACCCATTTGTTAACAATTTGGTTAACAGTAAATTGTTTAAAACATAAAAATACATATCCAATACATTATTTAGTGATAAACAATTCAAAATTGGTATTCTACATTATTAGTCCATAAAAATATATTAAAATTTTGTTTTAAAAAACAGTCACGATCTTACGATAGATTTTACAATCTTACGCTCCGATCCTAAGATCATAACACGATCTTACCGAAAAACGATCATAGTAAGATCGAGATCAATTTACCTAATTAGGATCGTAGGATCGTACGATCCTACGATCATGATTATGATTTTGACAAATATAAATTATTAAACAAAATAATAATATTTACTTTTAGGTTATAATAATAATAATAATAAACAGATCCAATAAACTTTGTATTTATCTTAAAAAGGTAAATTGGAAAAATAGTGTCTATGGTTATTTGTGTTGTTTTTTTGTTATAAATTAGCCTTAGGTTTCGATTTTTTTTTTTTTTTTTTTTTTTCAATTCGATATATCAAATTAAATCTGTTGAGTTTTAGGTGCTTGTTGTTTTTCCTGGAGCAAAATATCTGCAGTTTGAACTACATCTGTAGAGCTCTGCACTAAAAGAGGTCGACAAAATATATGCAGTCTAAAAAAAGAAGAATATTTGTTTTTTTAACATCTGCAAGCTTCTAAAATAAACTAAAATCTAAATAAACTAATTTTTTTAAACTTCAAATTGATTTTTAATATTTTTATGAATTTGTTATAAATAATTAATAAATTTAGATCAACTTTTATGTATTATTGTATAAAAAGTGAAAATAAAATGGTACAAATTAACATATATATTTGATAAAAACAAACAATTTTTATCGCAAAGTTATACCTAAACATTGTAATTAGGAATCAAAGAATTTGATATATAAATTGATGGAACAAAGTTGGATTTTTCCAATTAAATCAACATGTACCCACTCCCACGCCATCCAATTCTACCTATCCCTATATTAATACCCCCCAACCCACCACACCCCTACCTACCTACACCCATCCACTCCCAAGCCCACCCCCACCCACACACACACATCCTACAAACATACACACACACATATACCCACCCCCACCCCCAAACACACACACACATCCCCACCCCCACACGGCCACACCTACCCCGATAAACACATACCCACCCACAAACACACACACCCCACCCCACCCCACCCCCACAACCCCCCTACACACATGCACACACCCTCACCCTTACAAACACACACACACACACCCATAAACACACACAAACATATCCACCCACCCAACACCACTACCACCGATCTATCATCACCATCACTACCACTATCACAATTTTCGTTGCCACCACCGTTGTCGCTGCCCCTACGCCACCCTACCATCGCTACCGTTTTCTAAAAATGAAAACCGATAGAAAAATACACATCTAAACACGTTTTCTAATTTTCTAAAACTTAGATTATGAAAAATAAATAAGTTTTAACGAAACACGTTTTCTAAAATTTTCAATGAAAACTGAAAACAAAAAATGAAAACTAATAAGGGGAAACGAAAAACAGAAAATGAAAATTGTTTTTCCGTAACTAAACTCAACCTTAAGTTCTTTAATACGCTAATCGGCTTTTACCAAGTAGAATATATCTTATTGTAATATTTAATTTTGAAAACTTGTATATATTTAGATTTGTTAGAATATGAAATATTATCATTATATCATATGCATTAATTTCTTTCTGAATAAAGCCCAACACCAGCACATATTCTTTCAAGTATTATTTCAAACGGTTTGAAGGTAGTAGAAATGTAAAATCAAAATTGTTTCCAACTCTCTTTCCTATTTCCTTTTATTTCTTACTAAACTAGGTATAAGACGCATATATTACATGAGTTCATTTAAAAAAAATACGAAAATTCTAAACATTTGAAAAAGGTTTGAATTTATAAGAAAAATTAGAAAAATATTGAATTATTTAAATTCAAGTGTTTTTTTCTCATTTAAATTTAAACAAATAATTTAGATAAATAAGCAAAGGAAACTAATGAAGTTTTAATTTAAAATGTTAAAATTAGAAGGAAAGTCAATTATTGAAATTGATATGCATTTATTAGTATATTTATTGCAATTGTTACATTTAACCATAAAATGTCACGTGAAAAAAATTTAATTGAAAATAATCATAAAATGATATGTGGCCAAATCAATGAGAGTATGACATGTGCAAAAAGATTTTAATCATACATACTTATAAAACTATCATTTTTTCTTGAACCTCATGCATTTGAAACCCCATTTTTTAACTTCCTCAAACCACATAATTTGAAACCCCCTTTTTTAACTAATGCAACTCAAAAGTTTTCTTAATTATGATTTAACACTCAAACGTTTTATAACTTATATTATGTTTAATTAACATTTATTGAAAAATTTACTATAAAAAGACCAATATTTTGTGTCTTTTATGTTATATAAAATATTACATGTACGAAGGATTTGAAGATATTGTGATTCAAAAGTTTCCATATAGTTGAAACATTCACGATCCAAATATGATGATTTGAAGAAATGGGTTATGTCGCATCGATGGTAGTTGTAATATGATTTTTCTCTTTCGTTCAACCAAAATAAATGAGGCTTTTCTATTCTTTATTTATATTTAGTTTCTCATTTAATCTTTGTATGTGATTTGTGTGTATTCATCAATCTTGAATGTGACTCTCCTAACATCAATATTTTGCTTAGAATATCTTTCCGATTCTTCTTTTTCAAGGAAAATTTTTTGATTGCAGGTTAATGAAGAATTATCATCAAGTTTCTATAGTTGAACGATGTTAAATAAAGAAATAATATTCATAAAATGGATATAGGTTTTTTCTTTGAGCAAAGTTGACGAATGTTAGTTTTTCTTTTGATTTAAATGTATGTTTATGTAACATCTTTATTTATATACTCAACTACCCAATGCTCTAATTTATTTGAATGTAGGTTTTCTATTTTGATTATGTTTATTTTCTATTATATTTTTGTTGGGTTATCTTACACAACATATTTAAAAGACAATATTTAAAATATAACATAATTTTGAACATTTGATATGTAATTATGATAGATATACATTTCCATGTACCGCATTTATTTGAAACTCACACTACAACTCAAGAGTTTTCTAATTTATGTATATTTATTAGTTACAACTCAAGTGTTTTTAACTTATGATTATTAATTAGTAATCACTAATAACTTTTTATTTTCCTTTCTTTTAAAAGGTTGTAAAGTTTTTCTCATTAAAAATATTAATGTATTTGAATAGATTTGTGATTTAAATATAAAGAGTTAATATAAATGTTATAATAGATGTTTTAGTGTTTTTATGTTATTAAAAGTTATAGTGTTTATTTTTCATATTTTTTATTATTTGTTGTGTGTGTGTGTATATACACACACAAATATTATAATAGATGTTTTTCTATTTTTATGTTACTAAAAGTTGTAGTTAATATTTTTGTTCATACGTTTTATTACCCGTTATATTATCATTCATTTGATATATAATTTACACAATTTTAAACAGTTTATAAAATTATCAAATAATTGTATATATCATAATGACTTAAAAATTAAACTATATTGTTTAATAAAACTAATATGTTAACTATATGTTTGCTTTACTACTAACATTTTGTTTCCAAGTAGAAATATTAATTAATAATTTGGTAAAAGTTATTATTTTAACTATATAATTCTATTCTTGCACAACACGCAAGAATTCGCCTAGTTTATTATAATAGACAGAGCCCCAACAACCAACAACCAACAACAACATATATTCTTTCACACAAACAATTTGAAGTTTACTTGTATATTATTTTGTGTAATCTATTCCTATAAATTAGAACAAAAAACTAAGACTAATTTGACCAGACTTAATGTTATAACTATTTTGACCCGACTCGATCATGTAGTTGATCACTAGTGCCTCTTACAAAGAAAATTCATGGATTAACGAAGCATGAAGTTGCACGCTCCAATGGCTTCTCCCACTGTTAAATATATCCATTCTTCCGCAACCACATCTATTAACTTGGCTTTATTCATCTTCTTTATCACTTCTCCTCCTGGATTTGCCAAAATCAACTACAAACGAGTAATATAGGTAGCACATCAAGATTCAATCATGATTAAGAAAAATAAAAAAATGTGATGAGTACCTTTAGTCCTCTTCTTTCCATCAATTTTTTAACCTCTCCAAGCATTGTAATACCACTCGTATCGATGTTTCCAACCGCTGCAACCACCTCCATGTTATTTTCCTATCTTTTTCTTTTAGTTTTTCTTAAATACACAAAAATAATAATTTATGATTCGATCATTGATCACTTACCACTCAATGAAAGTATGACGTATTGCAAGCTATTTCCCCCTAGGGACTTTAATTTGTCTTCCTCTTCGTCAACCCACCGTAAAATCCTGACAAATAATGAAAAAATGAATTTAAAAATTGTTCGTGGAGACATTTTTTTTTATATTTTTAAGCGAACGAATAAATAACTATACCTTTCTCGCAAGTAGGCGGCGTTAGCAAAGTAAATAGGTGCATCCATTTGAAGTATCAAGATTCCAGGGATGTTTTTCGCATTTTGGTATTGATCAATGCTTCTATAGATTGAGGAATTGGGTATGTGACCTAGTGCATATGTTTTTGGCCTCGCGACAAATAGGAGTACCCTAAGCAATGATAATGCAACCTACAGTTGTCCCACATAAACTAAATTATAATACTAAAATCACAACAGACTGAATTAAAATGCGTGTAATTAAAACTTGAGAAATTAAATATCCTCCTACTATTTCTTCCTACAAATCCTCATATCCAATTGAGTAGTGACATTCGTATCATTTAATGCTCATTTAATGATATTTTAATACATTAATATGACACATATCATCATTTAATTGGGTAGGAGGATTTGTAAGAACAAAAGTATGAGGATATTTAATTTCTCTTAAAACTTATACCGCAATGACTAATCCGATTTCGACGCTCCAAAATACCACTCCTAAAAACGCGCTCATACACACAACAAAGTCAAATTTGTCGAGACTCCATAGGTGAATAGCTTCTTTGTAGTTAATAAGACCGAGCATTGCAGAAACGATGATTGAAGATAGTACGACGATTGGGGTGTAATAAAATAGTGGTATCAGGAACAACAATGTGATCATGACCGTGATTGCCATCACAATGTTTGACATTGCAGTTTTGCATCCCGCATTTAAGTTCACAGCCGAACGCGAAAAAGGACCTAATTTTTTTTGTTTTAAAGGAGAACATTGTGTCAAAATACATATTGTGGATCATAAGTTCAAAAATATTATTGGAAATGGTATAATTAATGGTAATTTTACACACCAGTAGTGACGTAGCAAGAAGTGCATGAACCAGCAATGTTCATCATGCCAAAGGCAATCATCTCTTTGTTACCATCAATGTTGTAATTCTTGAGCATCGCAAAGCTTCTCCCCACGGCAATTCCTTCCTGTTTAAAATTACATTATTACCCCTAGTGACAGAAATGCTAGAATGTGTCGCACTGATATATATACCAGTGTAAGATAAATGATACTATATTTAATAGTATTTTGTTACCCAAATTTTGAAAAAATGGAAATGGATTTAAGTAGAAAGAAAATAATGAAGGCAAGGTACAAGTGGTAGAGCATAAAAGACAAGACAAGGGACTTACAGCAAGGGCAATAACTCCGGTGACGGTGCCAGTCTTGATGGCTGTAAACAGATATTCAGACCCAAAAGACAACTCCTTGATTGTAATGGGGTTCAGTCCTTTCTTTAATTCCCCAATCTGTATATATTTATTTACACACACACAATGACACAAAAATAAATAAATAGGTAAAAACTAATTAGTGTGCTTTTAATTTCGTTATATATATATATATATATATATATATATATATATATATATATATATATATATATATATATATATATATATATATATATATATATATATATATATATATATATATATATATATCCAATCAAAGATAAAAACCGCAAATGAAACTAAACTAACCACTTGAACTCCGTGTTTGTGGGCATGGGTGAGATAAACAAAAACACTGCTCAAGATGACTGACGTCAAAGGAGCCATTGCCGATATCCAAAATAGCTTAGGTCGTTTTGTGCTCTGTTTATATCACTTTTCAAATTAGTAATCTCTCTATATATTATATCTATCTTTTAATTCGTGTAGTCTGTGTATATATCTAAATGAACAAAATTTAAATGAGAAAGAAAATACTTACAACAAATCTTGCAAACAAGAGACACAAGAGGATGCAAATACCCAAAACTGCACTCTCCCACCTCCACTACACTTAAAAAGAATTAATTTATTAATTAATAGAATGTAAAATATATTAGAATTATTAAATCTAGATCTATACATCTTATAAATAGTGATTGAACAGATTTTAGTTTAGTTGAAGTTTTTTAAGTTTTTATATTTAAGGCCATATTCAAAATTAACGAATTTAAGTATATTTGGTTGCAAGATACAAGGTTATAACAATAAAATTAATTAAAGACAAAACTGTACGAATGATCCAAAATTGACACTTTGGTTTAAATAGGTTTGGACTAGCCCTAGAGGTCAAAAACTTTCATTTTATTGCGGTTTTGATCCATTTTTTTGAAAATATTTAAAGTGATGATTTTGCCCTTGATATTTTCTTTTTCTGATTTATTTTATTAATTTTATTTTTTTATTGTAATAAACAAGAAACAAAATGTAATAACCCCTCTTCCCTTTTATATGCGCATCACTTAACCCTGCCATCATTCGTCAGCAGTACAGCCACCACCGCCACTGGAAGCCTCCATCACCTCGTCGGAGGAGTGAAACGAAGAGATACAGACGGAACCAGGGTTCGCAAACCCTAAACCACCTCGGACCCGTGAGAGAGAGAGAGAGAGAGAGAGAGAGAGAGAGAGAAAGAGAGATGGAGAACGACATTACGGTTTGTTTTGACAGGCGGCGACGCTAGGGTTTGCTATAACAGGCGTCTGTGACGGTTGATTTTCAGCACTGGATAAGGGCTCCGACGGTGGGTTTTCAGCACCAACGAAGGGTTTCAGATCTGGTCATTTATTCATTACCTGCGCTCCGACAAGAAGTTTTTCAGATACGAGGGTTTTATGGAGTGAAAACCTTAAATCGTTTGGGTAATAGGTGACATATCTAGCTCCAACGTGTACGAAGAAGCGGTGTTTTGGCAAACAGATCCGGAGACCGATACCTTCATGGTTTCGACATGGAGAAGAGTTTGTTTGTTTGAAAACTAACAACGACTACAAGATAGATCTAAAGAGAGGGATCGTTTTCATATCTAAACGTTCAAGGAGGGTTTTGAAGGTTTGTTTTTGTCTTCGTCGGAAAATCGAGGGTTTGTCTGTCTGTGCCGGAAAATCGTGGTTTTTTTTTTGTCTTCGCTGTCGGAAAACAATGCTTTTCAGATCGAAGGTTTTTCTTGGAGATGGTGGTGGTGTTGACTTGCGATGTTGACTTGTAGTGGTTGAAACGGTCATCTTTTGCAGTGGTGGTGATTGCGTTCGTCTTTTCTGGTGATGGTGGTTGCGTTCATCTTTTTCGACAATGGTGTTCAAGCTTTCCGGCGGTGGTCAAGTTAGCTGAAGATTTAGGGGGGGGGGGGGAGAGAGAGAGAGAGAGAGAGAGAGAGAAGGGGTTGGGGAGGGGGTTAGTTTCTTTTTGTTTTTTAATTAAAAAAGTGTTAGAAGTAAATAAAAAAAAGTGGGAAAAGAAAATATCAAGGGCAAATCCGTCAATTTAATAATGTTTCAATACTTTTGGATTAAACTCGCAATAAAATCAAAATTTTAGACCCCTAATGCTAGTCTAAATTTTTTTGGACCAAAAGTTGCAATTTTCGAGATACCACAGGGACCATTTGTGCAGTTTATTCTTAATTAAAATACATCTTTTTAGTTACATTGAAAATTTTGGTCAATTCATACACTGAAGTACTGAACAAAAGGTAAACAACGACCAAGTAGTTTTAAATTAATTTGTATACCAATAATTCAGTTGAAAATCATGTAACATTTAACTTATAAATTGAAATTATACAAAATTTCAGTAACTTATAACCAGTCTTTTAAATAACTAAAAATATCCAAATGAGTCGTTTTTAAATTAAATAACAATTGCTAAAAAATAATATTAAATCAAAGTTTCATTTATTAAAAATCACATAATATTAAAAATTGTGTTACGTTTGAATATAAAAATAGTGATAGATATAAAAAAAATATCAGTTGAAATTGAAAAAAGAGAAAAATAGTATTTTCAAATTAATTTATAATAATACACAGTTTTATTCACTTGAAACCTGAAACCCTCTACCAAGGAGCATGTGGTGACACCGTATGAAAAATTGATGAAAATATGTCAATCAATCAAAGGTCGAGGACTTAAATCCTGATTGAGACGAAATATGTAAATTTAGAATAAAAATACATTTAGAAATGGAGTATGGAGTATTTGAATCAGTCGTTCTAAAAAAATTGCAACCCTCTGGAGTTTATTGAGTTTATGTGACTCAAACGAAATATTTATCTTATACCATACTTATTTGAATTTTATTTTATAAATTGCATTCAAACATTATAATTATTAGAAGTTAGAACTTTTCAACTTATACTTTATTAATAGGTGTTTTTTATGTATGATTTCAATATAATCATAATGTTTAAAATCAAAACTTTAAATTAAATTAATATATAACTAATTTTTTATAGTTAGTATTAGTAATTGAATTATTTAACATATACTCTACTATATTTTAATATATAATTATATTTCTCAAATTATTTATTAATAAATGGAGAACATATATATTTCAAGAAAAAAAATATATATTCAGGAACCTTGTGGGTTTGGGTGAAGACAGAACGTAACACGGAGATAAGATCGGTGCTTTGAGTGAAGTGTTGGAGACCCAATATTCCTTTCAGCTGCTGTAAACTCACTACAATCGCAGATCCGGCCATAAACCCTATGATCGTAGAGTGTGACAAGAAATCAACGATAAACCCAAGCCTGCATGGATTCGATTATGGATATTAAATATTAATCAGCCTCAGTTTTTTTGTTTATGGGGTTTGAGAGGGATTATGATTGATCAATATGTGTTTAAAGTTCTGTAAATTAATTAATTAACCTAAAGATTCCCAGTGAAGCTTGAAGAACTTGTTAGAATATGGTAATAACAACAGGGACTTTGCACCAAAATAGAAACAGGGACAGAAAAGGGATTCTCACAGGGGACAGAATATAGTAATAGCAGAGAAGGGCAAAACTGGAATGTATGTCTTTTTGGTAATCTAAACAGGGGACAGAGTATACCAAAGCTTTAAAAACTTTTCTTATTGAACTTCATAAGAGAGAAAGTGACACACAGGTCACGTACACAGCTAATCTATTTAAACAAAAACTTACACAAAAATAGGAACTAACTTCCACTAAGCTAGAGACCAGGACTGCATAGCCTACATGGCTTTGATTTATTCTTGCTAACTATTAAAACGTGCATAAATAAATAAAACTTAATAAAGCTTACTAAACTCAGAATTATAATAACATTTTCCCCCTTAATTCTGAGCTCCAATTCCTTTTATGCCAATCATCCTGCACATTTCTTCATGCTTCACTCTGGCTAATGCCTTTGTAAGCATGTCTGCCTTTTGCACTTTTCCATCGATATGATTCACCACGATCTCTCCATTTTCAACACATTCCCTGATGAAATGGAATCTGATATCAATATGCTTACTGCGCCCATGAAACACAGGGTTTTTCATTAGTTCCAAGGCTGATTTGTTGTCCACATACATTGTAACTGGTGGGATGTGTTGACTTGTTATTTCTGTCAAGAGCTTCCTTAACCAAATTCCTTGACATGTGTTGTGGTGGCAGCCATGAATTCCGCCTCACATGAAGACAGGGCTACACACCTCTGTTTTTGCGATGACCAAGACACTAAGTTTCCATTTACATAGAACGCCATACCACCTGTACTTCTTCTATCAATCACATCCTTAGCATGGTCACTATCTGAGTATCCTTCAATGGTGATCTGTTTTTCACCTTTGGAATAGACTAAACCATAGTCCATTGTGCCTTTTATGTACCTAAGGATCCCTTTTACAGCTTGAAGGTGAATCTTGGTAGGTTTTTCCATAAAGCGACTTACCACGCCCACAGCGTATGATAAGTCTGGACGGGTATGAGTCAAATACCTGAGTCCACCCACTATACTCCTGTATTCAGTGGGATTTACAAGATCACCATCTCCTTCTCTGGTTAGTCGTAACTTGTGTTCCATGGGGCTTTTGGTGGGGTTGCAGTCAATCATGCGCGTTTTGACTAGCAAGTTACGAGCATAAGCCTTTTGACTCAGGGAGATATGGTTATTGAATTGACTTACCTCAATACCCAGATAGTAGGAGAGAAGACCAAGATCGCTCATGTCAAACTTCGCGTTCATCTCTTTCTTGAAATCTTCTACATCATTAGAGGCGCTCCCGGTCACCAATAGGTCATCAACATATACTCCAATGATTAGAGTATTTCCATTCTTCTCTCTTGTGTATACTGAATATTCTTGAGGACACCTTTTGAAACCCAGATTCTTCAAATACGCATCCAGACATGCATTCCATGCTCTGGGTGCCTGCTTCAACCCATAGAGAGCCTTCGATAGTTTGAAAACTTTGTGTTCTTGACCTTTCTTCTCAAATCCCTCTGGTTGTGTGACGTATACTTCTTCCTCCAATTTCCCATTTAGAAATGCTGATTTTACGTCAAGATGATGGACTTTCCAACCATTCGTGCCAGCTAAAGCCAAGATCACTCGAACCGTTTCAATTCGAGCCACAGGAGCGAATACTTCATCGTAATCTACCCCATGCTTTTGTATGTAGCCTTTAGCTACAATTCTTGCTTTATGTTTTAAGATCTTTCCTTCTGGATCCCGTTTCACCTTGAAGACCCACTTTAACCCAATTGGTCTTCGATTTCTTGGAAGTTCTACTAAATGCCACGTGTTGTTCTTTTCAATTGAGGTGATTTCTGCATTCATTGCCTGAACCCATTCCTTCTTCCGACTTGCATCAGTATATCTTGTGGGTTCTTCATCATTACTCACCATCAACAATTCTTCTGGAGGTAATTCAATTTCTTCAGTGTTCTCGAGCAAATCGGTGATCAAACGATATCGTTTGGGAGCTCCCCCACCAGTGGAGCTTGATGCAGTGCTTGGAGAACCGAAATTAACTGGTGATGGTGTTTGGTGTGGTATCGGAGTGTTTGGGAAATTTGGGGTAATAAGGCTGTCGGGTGTAACTGGTGTATGTGGGTACCCGGATGAGATTGAAGGTTGTGGGCTCAAATTGTCATTATTTGATTGTGGGTTTCCAGGAGCCCAAGACGCATTAGTTGACGATGGCCCATCTTGTTGTTGTGGGTTGTCGGGTCCCCATTTATCATCATCGCCAAGAAATTCTTGGTCAAAATTAAAACCTTCAACTGTAAATGTCATTCCTGGCACCGTCTTGATCTTTGAAGTGTTCTCCCACTCCCATCTTCGGTTCTCTTCGAAGATCACATCCCGACTAATATACATCTTTCCCGTTTCTGGGTCGAGTAATCTGTGAGCCTTGGATCCCTTTTCATTCCCCAGATACACTACCTTCTTACTTCGATCTTCTAACTTGTCTAGATGCCCTTTCATCACTTTCATGTGAGCTACGCACCCAAAAACTCTTAGATGACTTACTTGTGGTTTCCTTCCAGTCCACAGTTCATAGGGTGTAGCATTCTTCAATGCTTTGGTGCTTAATCGATTCAGAACATACACCGCGTGGCTCACAGCTTCACCCCATAGCACATCAGGTACTCTCATCGTCTTTAAGCAGCTCCTGACCATCTCAAGAACAGTTCTATTCCGCCTTTCCACTACTCCGTTCTGCTGTGGCGAGTAGGGTGAGGTGAAATGTCGTTCTAAACCAGTCTCGCTGCAATATTTGGTGAATTGATTTGACAAGAATTCGCCACCACGATCTGTTCTCAGGATTTTTAATTTTTCACCAGTTTCGATCTCCACCTTGCTTCTAAAGTTTCTGAAGATGTTGAAAGCTTCGTCTTTCGTTTTCATCAGATGGACCCACATTACCCTGCTGTAATCGTCTACTAACAGCATGAAGTATCTATTACCTGCAGGTGTTGGTGGAGAGATTGGTCCGCACAAATCACCATGGACCAGTTCAAGCTTTCTTTCTGCTCTGTAGCTAGTGCTTGCTGGGAATGGGATTCTTGATTGCTTCCCTACAAGACAACCCTCACAGGGTTTAGATGGAATCATCGTTTTGGGAGGTCCCTGTATCAACCCTTTTTCTGTCATGATCTTCAGTGATCCAAAGTTTACATGGCCCAGTCTCGTGTGCCACAGCCATGTGGGATCGCTCAGTTCAACCATACAACATTTTGAACTTACATCTTTCAGCTCAATTTTATAGAGTCGATTCGGAGACTTCTTTACCTTCATTAACAGCTTTCCACCTTTGTCATGTACCCACAAAAACGGTTCTTTGATCTTTATCTCGTCTCCTCCTTCCGACAGTTGACCGAGACTTATAATGTTACTGCAGAGATCAGGAATGTAATACACATCCTTCAGGCTTCTTTCTTTTCGGTTCTTGCACTGGAATACAATAGTCCCTTTCCCCTCAATTTTCACCTTGGACTCATCTCCGAATTTCACCATTCCACGAATGTTCTTGTCCAAAGTTTGAAATTTTTCTCTGTCACCAGTCATATGGTTACTAGCACCACAGTCCAAATACCACATTTTTGACTGATTCAGACATCCCCCTTTTGATCTTAACTCTGGTTTCAAGCTTTCTTCGTTCAGGAATACTTCCCCCGTCTCACTTTTCTCTTCAAGGGACGTCAACAGGAGAGCTGGTTCATCGTCTTCTAAAATCAAGTTACTTTCATGATTTCTCTCTTTTCTAGGATTTTTACACTCTGCTGCATAGTGTCCAAAATCCTGACAATTGTAACATTGGGCTTTGCTTTTATCCTGATTGTTTGAACCACCGGAGCTTGATCCTTTCTGGTAACTGTAGTCGCCTCTACCACGACCACCACGACCTCCATTTCGACCTCTTCCTCTGCCTCTGCCTCGTGAGCTACCAGATCCTCCACGACCTGGTTTGGTCATTGATTCTCCTCCCTTCTTCCTTCTTTCTGACCATTCTTGGTGAGTCAGGAGTAATTTCCGATCATCTTGATCTTCACGGCCCTTTAATCTTTCTTCATGTGCTTTTAGCCTTCCTATGACCTCTTCAACACTCATCGTTTCCAGGTCACCAAACTGCTCCAAAGTGGATGCCAGTTGAATGAATTTTGACGAGACTGCCCTTAGTAGCTTCTTCACAACATAGGCTTCTTCAATTTTCTCACCAAGAGTGCGTATTGAGCTGACTGCACCTGTTACTTTTGCTGTAAACTCATCGATACTTTCTGACTCCTTCATGTTGATGGCTTCAAGCTCGGCCTTTAGGGTTTGGATTTTTGCAGTCTTTACCCTCTCTGCTCCTACAAACATTGTTTTGAGAGCTTCCCAAGCCTCTTTCGCTGTCTTCTTCTCTGCTAGGACCAGTAGCAAGTCCTCAGGTATACCCTGATAGATTGCGGCTAAGGCCATGTTGTCTTTCTTTGTTTCAACAAGGGTATTCGCTGTTCTGGGCTCCACCGCGTCCCAGACACCTTGGGCCAACATGAAAACCCTCATCTTAATCGCCCATGCACCATAATTGGTTCTTGACAACATCGGATAGTGCAGGGTAACATTCCCATCTTTCTCACCATTTCCATTGTTAGTACCACTCGTCATCTCTTCTCGAGATTGATATTTTGGCATACACCACCAGATTCGCTCTGATACCAAGTGTTAGAATATGGTAATAACAACAGGGACTTTGCACCAAAATAGAAACAGGGACAGAAAAGGGATTCTCACAGGGGACAGAATATAGTAATAGCAGAGAAGGGCAAAACTGGAATGTATGTCTTTTTGGTAATCTAAACAGGGGACAGAGTATACCAAAGCTTTAAAAACTTTTCTTATTGAACTTCATAAGAGAGAAAGTGACACACAGGTCACATACACAGCTAATCTATTTAAACAAAAACTTACACAAAAATAGGAACTAACTTCCACTAAGCTAGAGACCAGGACTGCATAGCCTACATGGCTTTGATTTATTCTTGCTAACTATTAAAACGTGCATAAATAAATAAAACTTAATAAAGCTTACTAAACTCAGAATTATAATAACAGAACTCCGGCGACGAACGTCGCCGTTAAGGCTAACTGAAGATGCAACTTTGGGTTTTCATTGGCGTTCACCACCGCACCTAACATCGAACCTATTAGCAACGACGCCACTGCGAACGTCCCCACCGCTAAATCTTTAGAACTTCCCATCATCGCATATACTAACGGCGGAACGAAGCTTGAATCTGCAAAATTCAACAAAAAATTAATTAAACACCATTTATTGCCCTTAAGTTTGCTGATATCGAAATTAGACTCACGATTACGAATTACATCGGAGAAGTTTAAAGAGCTTACACAGGCCGAATATCGGCGGGAGGTTCGCTAGCTTAGCGTAGCTGATTCCCTGAGGGATTGATAAACTTGCAATGGTGATACCGGCGATTATGTCGGATTTAAAGAAACTTAAATTATAACGAGATCCCCAGTCGAAAATGGGGAAGATATACTGAATTCCGAGTATAAATTTGCGTGACGGTGGCTGATCTTTGAATTGCCGCAGTGGGTCATCGGGAAAAAGTGTTTCTTTCACGGTGTTCTTCAATGATTTTATGAATGGTTGTGGCGGCGGAATGGAAACTGTGTGTGCTTGCTGCTCGAAGTTAAATTTTGGGTAGCCATATTCTCCGGTATTCATTTGTAGCCTTCTGTTCGGTGATCGGAGGCGGAGATGGCTGTGGAGTGTGGAGGTTGTATGAGATATTTGGAGGTGGTCAGGTGGAGTACTACTGGAGTGACTTTATGATATATATATATAGATTCTTGAGTGGGCCCACTGTGCCACGTGGTAAATGTTACATTAATTTGTATGAGAGTTTAATATTGAAATGCTGAAGAGCATCTGCTTGCTATCCACCACTTTTATGGTTCATAAATTTATAAACCTGTCTGTGCATATTTTAATGATACATACTAAAACTATATTTATTTAAATTATATCATGTAAAATACAATAGTATAATTTTGATATGTGTATGGTATTAAAATAAGTTATTAATTGTTTATAATAATTTGTTATGATACATTTTAATTATTTTATATAATATGGTAAAAATGTGCATATATAAAAAAAACAATGATTTCAATAGTTGCTATCAGTTATAAATAAAAATAAAAGTGAATTATCTTTTGATTTATATTATTTTTTGAGTCACTAGTTAATCACATCAATAAAAGTGAATTAATCAATTTAGGAACATATTTTTTGTAATCATATCAACTGAATGCAATTTATTTGTAAGTTGAATATGAATTTTGATATTTGAATTTTGGTTTTGATATTTAACATTATATTATATTAACAGCTGATATTTTCATTAATTTAATTATCATCGTACAATGAATAAAATGAAAAATGTGCAACAAACTATGTCGCTAAACCGTTTTGTATGATAAAATTAATTATTTTGAAGACTACATTCATAGATATAGGGGATGTACCATCATTATGCATGATCCGTTGTACTATATTAAAAATCTTCACCGCGCGAGGGAACCAAACGTATCAAATGCAAATGGTATGAACACATGTTGATTTTTCATGCACGATTTCGTATGTTTGGTGACTTTTCCTGTAACAGTTTTTAAAGCACTTTGCCCCGTCGTAAAACCCTAAGCCCACAAGCCCACGAGAGGAGATACCTCTGTAAACTCCGACATGTGTGTTTCCCTCCGACCTATCCAAAAATCAAAACATCAACCGGTCTGAGGGTTAAAATTTCTTCTATCATATCAGTCAAGAAATTCACATGTGTCTTTTTCTTTGTGGAAACTCGGACACGCTTAAATATGTCAAACAAAATATCCCTAACCATATCATTCATTTATTTAAATATTGAAGAAATAATTATTATTTTTTTAAAATATTATAAAAATATTTTTTGATAAACTATTTTTTGTTAATTTAGCATTTAATGTTAAGTTTTATATTTAATGGTTAATTATTATAATCATTATAATTAACATTAAGTTTTAAAGAATCAATTAATCATCAAAAGTCTTTTGAATTACTGTAGTAATATAAAAAATCATGAAAATTTCAAATAATATAAGGTTAAAGAAAAATTTTCCTTATTTGTATAGAAGTGCTCTCTAATGAGTGCAATAAGATCACACATAACACGACTCTCCCATTTAAGTTATCTTAACCCGAAACCATGCTATTCAATAATATTATAAATAAATATAACTTTGATTTAGATTTTATATTTAAACTTTTATTATTTTAATTAATTAAAAAACCACCTCTTTTGGAAAATTTCATTAGTATATCAATTTTTTTTTGTTAATTTAGATTTTCATTTTAAGTTTTATATTTATAAATAAACTCATATAATCCTTATAATTATTATATTTCAATGAATCAGTTAACCATCATTAGTAAAAAAAAAATTGGCTCTTTTATAATTAGATATATAAATTTCGATTTAGGTATACACAAATTTGATAATTAGTAAAAAAATTATATATATATATATATATATATATATATATATATATATATATATATATATATATATTACCATTCGATTATATCCATTTTATTTTAAAATTACAAATAAAAATTAAATTTAGTTTATATATATATATATATATATATATATATATATATATATATATATATATATATATATATATATATATATATATATATATAGGTAAAATGAATATACCTAACACCTTTATATAAACTTAGGTACCTAACCTCATCAAACTACATCATTTTGCATTAAATTTTCATTGCAATCATCCAAGCTTCTTAAACTTCATCCCTAAACTTGATTTACTTTAAAAAAAAAATTGGAAATTCATCATTATATTTCTCCTACATCCTTTCATTTGTAGCGGTAGGATATGAAGCCCATTAGGTGGTATCCGATAGAAAGACGTGATGTAAAAGAAAAATATTGCTGAAAGTCCAAAGATTTTAGAAGGAATCAAGTTATGGGGTTGAAGTTTAAGAATCTTACGCAATTACAATGTAAATATGATACAAACCGATGTAATATTATGGAGTTAGGTACCTAAACTTATATATATAACGTTTTTAGGTATATTCATTTTAACCTCTCTCTCTCTCTCTCTCTCTCTCTCTATATATATATATATATATATATATATATATATATATATATATATATATATATATATATATATATATATATATATATATATATAGGAGTAGGATCAAATGAGAACAGAAAAAAGGTTGAGAACGCGAGAACAAAGTATATTCATTTGCGATTCCATGTATTCATTTGTGGAGAAATGATAAATTTTTACGCATTTAATTTCAATTGAAGAGAAAAAACATATTCATGTTGATTATGCGTAAAAATTTATCATTTCTCCACAAATGAATACATGGAATCAGAAACGAATATACTTGTTCTCGCGTTCTCAACCTTTTAGGTGTTCTCATTTGATCTTTTCCCTATATATATATATATATATATATATATATATATATATATATATATATATATTCTGAAAGTTGGTCTAAACCACAACTTTTTTAGATTATTGGTATTTTTGATTATGTTTGTATGTTGATTTGGTCCCTCTCAAATTGAAATAACTAAATTAACCTTATTATATTTATTTTTCTTTTTTCTTTTTTTATAAGTATTTATATATATATTAAATAAAAATAAACACATTCCCATCCTACCTCTCTCTCTCTCTCTCTCTCTCTCCGTCTACTTTTTCCACAAAGTCTCTTCTTATCAACCTTCAAATCAACTTCAACTTAGCATTTGCTCAAACACTTCACCTGCATTTGCAACCATAACTTGCTCCCCTAAGTCATCTTATAAATAAATAATTCATTTCCTCCAATTTGCGAGTACGCGCCTAAAATGTATTAACCTATAATACTAGAGCTTATCAGTCTCTAGGTAAATCTTGTAGTGTAGGCTAGACCTATCATTAATCCCAACGAATACCGATAATTCTATCAAATAAGGATCAGTCAGGCAAGACAGTTGGGATGCAGGATCACTTCGGCATATATCTTACCTAAAATCCAACAACCAAGCCAACGTGACCATTATAGACATCCCTCTCGTAAGTAGTTCAATCAGTATTATGATTGGAATCACTAATAAATCTTATTTACACATTCATAATAACGACTATGAATATAAATATAAGTTACACATAAAAGCATGGTTGTAACATCCATAAAATCATGCTAAATTTAAACTTTTTCAAAACATTTCAAAATCATTAGTTATTACAAAACTTGTTTTCAAAATAGTATAATATCAGAGTATCACAGAAACATAAACAAAAATATGAGGAGTTGTATGATCACGCCTTTGCCTTCCCGCGATCATCTGATGTACCTGAAACAAAACTGAAACTGTAAGCCTAAAGCTTAGTGAGTTCCCCCAAAATACCGATACATAACAACAATACACATAATAACAACATGTAATGGGTACACAACTCTACAGATTGAATTACCCCCTAGGCCCATAGTGTGAGTCTGAATTGCCTTTCGAGCCCACAACATAAGTCTGGTTTGCTTCCAAGCCCACAACTTATGACTGGCTTGCCCCTACAGTCCTAAGACTAAAACATAACTGATATACCCTCAGTACGAGTCTGACATACCACTTGGTCCTTAGCTCGTATCTAGCATGCTAATGAGTCCTCATTATGAGTCTGGTGTGCATTCCCCGCCCTCAGCTCATATCTCACATACTCCAGGGTTTGTTGGTCACTGCATGAGGCAGTGCAACCTCCACCCTACCCATACAACATGTCTACATATACAGCTAATTGCACTTACAAATAATCAAATAGTAACACAGGTAGTCCAACAGATCTACCTAACTGGCATGGCAAACTAGCATGTATAACTATCTCATACTCAACACATCATCAAACAACTGGGATATCAAATCCAATGGGCCGACCTTGGTGCCTTAGACCCCTTAGTATAATGAGGATAACTCACCTCTCCACTATCAAATCGAAACAATAACTCAAACTCTCAAACCACGGCCACAAACTCCACCACCTATATTTACCATAAGACATTTTCCATAAATTTCCAATTTACCATAATACCCCAGAAGTCAACTAGTCAACCCTTGGTCAAAGTCCAAGTCAATGGTTAAGGTCAACAATCCATGTTGACCCGACTCGTCGAGTGCAGTTCATTAACTCCTTGAGTCCTTCCTGAACTCGAGAATTCGTGAAATCCTTAGTTGACTCGAAGAGTTTTCCTGAAACTCGCCGAGTTTATGCATGTCTAAAGGTCGGGGAAACCCCAGCTGACTCGCCGAGTCACCCTACTGACTCGCCGAGTCCATGCAGAATTCCTTGAACGACAATCTTCATTGGACTAACCGAGTTGGCCATGCAACTTGTCGAGTTCTTTCAGTCATTTCTCCATTCAGATGCTTTTTAAGCCATTCCAAAGTGCTATATTGCAGATCAAGCTTCCTAAGGCATGTTTATCACGTAAAGTTGCAAACTTTATGTGCATGCAAGGCTCTAATGGCTTAGAATGTCAAATCTAAGCTTGTAATGGGGTTTAACTCATAAGAAAAGGTTCATGCTTGCTAAAGCTGGAGACTTTATAGACTTAGAGACCCAGGTAAGTTCACATATGAAGTTGAAACTTTA